TGCTGGCTCCAGAATAACTTTTCTCAAGAGCTGGTTGAATAAGGAACAACAAGTCAAGTTCCAAATGTAATCGCCAACTTCACCACATAGCATAGCAGTTGCTATGAGTTCTGGGAGCTGAAGTTCCCATTTCTGCAAGTTGCTGTGGTTGACGAAGGCTGTGACATCCTGTCCTCACTCTGGCACACCTGGCCTTTTTGGATGTTGTGAGAAGGGTGTATGTTTAGATCTGTTTGCACCCCCAAGTAATTTACCATTACTTGAACGGAGTAAACTCGTATTTTTCCCCAAATAGGTCCTTATGTAAATAACTACTTTCCAGGGAAGTCCCTCAAGGCCTGGCTATGTCATCATGGGACATGATGGCACCAGTGGACAGAGGGAACCAGGGACATTGTAAAATGGCTCCAGCATTGTGGTTAATATTCAGGCTCTCCTATGCCTCCCGGTTGTTATAATTTAATAATGATTTTTATATTTTTAATAATGACTATTTTTAAAAAAATATATTTATTGTTGTATGTCCCCTGGAGTCACTTTTTGTGAGATGGGCAGCTATATAAGAATAAGAAGAATAAGAATAATTTTATTTCTATACCGCCCTTCTCCTGAAGGACTCAGGGCGGTGTACAGCCTATTAAGAGCACAAGACAAACATCAATTAAAATAATTTAAAATTATTAAATAATTCGGCTCAATTTAAAACCCCAGAAATTTAAAACACCCAATTTAAAATTATTATGTTGATAGCCAGGCCTGGCGGAACAACAGGGTCTTGAGTGCACAGCGAAATACCCGGTGAAATACCACAGCGAAATATGAACTTAATAAACAAACAAACAAACAAACTACACTTTTGTTAAATTGAAGGTTTCTGAATCTTTAGCCCTGGTAGAGCAGGAATACACAACCTTATAGCTTTCCCCAATCTGGTACCATTGCTTATGTTGTATGGGGAAGATGGCAGTTGCAGTACAACGTATTTGGAGGTGGGTGCAATACAATATAGAACACAGAAGGCCCTGCGGCAGGCATTAATGAAATAAAGGTTAAAGGTGAGAAATTGTGGCTTTCTTAAATCACATCCGTATTATACCTATGTCAGTGTATTCAATTCTTTTTCCCTACAATACCCAGATACTTCAAGGAACAGTATTGAAATAAATGTTAGAACTAATCGGTTGCTATCATTGCTCTTAATAGACTGCTTCCATAAATTGATTACTGAAAAACCTATTAGCTCTGCTAATGATTTCTCAGTAAAAAAAATATTGGACTTGGTTACAGAAGACAAAAGGATAACATAAAGCCACAATGCGTATAAAAGCTAGCGTATTTTCTTCTATTATTCGTCCATGCGATTTGTTTTCCAGGTTGTTTTTCTCGGCATGTCATGGTGGGGTTTTTTTTAACGTTTTCTTCCTGGAAAAAAAAAAATCAAGCACATGTTAAAAAGAAAAATTGCTGTGCCTTATCTCCAATGCTTCTAATCTCTGTTTTTCATAAATCATAACATATTAATGAATAGGGATCTGTGTGCCACTCTCGAAGAAACAATATTATTCAATATTATTCAGCTTTTGCTTAAGATTTCATGAGGGTAAAGATATTACCAGGATAGGTGTGGGGATTTTGTCTGTATGTTTGTCTGTGTTTCTTATTTCTGTGTGTGCATATGGTGGTAGTCAGGATTAACTACATAAATGGACAGGAAAAAGGGGATTGGACCAGATCGTTGAAATCTTTTTAGTTGACATCTTTTTTTCCATAGCTCATTTAACAATGCCATTTTAATCAGTAGGTTAGTACAATGGCAAAATATTCCACTAGCACCAATTTGGCATACCATTCAAGACTTCTTGTTTATTAGGACCATGATAGCGAACCAATGGCACGTATGCCACAGGTGGCACGCAGCTCCCTCTCTGTGGGCACGTGAGCCGTTGCCCCAGTTCAGCTCCGTTACGCATGCACACATGCTTCCCGCCAGCCAGCTAGGTCTCTGTCAGGTCTCTGCCGCACATGCGCAGGGTACGGGGCATGTGCGGGGGGGCATACGTGCATGCGCTGGCCGTATGCACAGGGCCATCATGCACATTGCATTTTGGGGGTTCGGGCACACACGCATTCGCACACATGCTTGCGCGCTTTGGGTGCTTGGTCCAGAAAAGGTTAGCCATCACTGTATTAGAACTTGAAACTGAGGAGACTTGACTAGCCTTCAATTATAAAAAGCCTTCTGCCTTAACTGTCTAATTACGTTAGGACAATGCTAGACATAAGGTTTCCACAGCAAAAATGAAATGTTAAACATTTGTTTTCTGGTTTATATTTGCCATGATAGAAACATCATTGTAACTTTGCAGCCTAGCCTTTCCCTATCCCGAAAAAACTTTTGGATTTAAATTTGTTGGTTTTTTTCCACTGGAACATGTATATTGTCTTTGAAGGCCAGATTTATTAGAAAGCAAATATTTTCTTTTTCCTCTTCGACTCTTCAAGCAAATGTGTCATCTAGCAACACAAGAAATTTTATTTCTAGCTACTGTATGAAAGAACACAACTTAAAAAAAAAAGCGGCAGAGGAATTAAACTTTGTTGTTAATGGCCAAGTTCACTCCCAGTCTAGACACTGTATTCTATGTAACCTAATGGTCATTTTATACGTGGCAATATTTATGGGAAGGAAACTACTATAAGCATAGCATAATTTACAGTTGACTTGAACACTTTCAAATAACATTCTGCATCCTTGATCACTTTTTTTTTAGTTTGTTTGGAATTGTATGATAGAAAAATCTGAAGAATCCACCATCCGTGCTATCAAACCAGATACATATTCTGGGAATATCTACACAAATTTTAAGTATTCTTGTTAGTGCAAATAAAGAATTAGGAACTCAGTAATTAAAATTTTGTTTGACCGTAATGCCCAAACTAGAACCAATCTTTGGTGTTTAAAGCATGAAAGAGTAATAAATGATTGGTTGTAGAATGGTAGCTTCTGTTTGTTTGTTTATCTGCAGTTAAATAAACAGAGATGTTTACATTTAAGAAATAAGCTACACTTCGTTATAATAATAGCTTCAGTTTAAGGATTTACAGTCCAGACTCTTGGACCTAATTCTTTAAACAGTAAAATCTTTCTGTATGCAAATGAGCCTGCACATTAGCTAAGTGTAAAGCAAGACATGGTGTTTGGGATAGGATACCATTCTTGTTTATATCCATCCAATAACATTAGTAGGACGAGGAAAAGGATAACTATTCTTCTTAATAACTTATACAGCCCAGGAGCTAAGATTTTTGTTTTGGACCATCAAGAAATTTATTTTGCTTCATATGAGACCACATTTGTTGAATTCCTTGGCTTTGTTTTGCTTTAGATGATCTAGCTTTATCTCACCAGAGCCATTGCTGCAATTTGTATATTATTCTGGTACAAGAAGAGTCTGTAGAAAAATATTACATTGGGCTCTTTCAATTAAACACTACTAGAATGTTCACTCATGGGAAAATGAGGCCTCTTGAGATTTAGAAACCTGAGAATGAATTATATAACTAAATTGGGAAATTATTATTATTAGATGATATTTATGTAGTTTTGTACTGTTCTGAACAAGAAGCTTAAGCTAGCCAATGCCTATCAGAGGCATATTTACTCAAGAGAGTAAAAACATTTACAGGTCTGTCCATGTAACAGCTCATTTATTGTTGTTATATATTTGCAATAATTGAGTTCTAAATGATGTCAGAATAATTCTGAGAATATGTACACAACTATATGCATAGATGATTTATACAAGAGCCTACAGATATTTTCAATTGGGTCTTATTAGTCCCACTTGTTAGTCGACCAGTAAGTTCTCTGCTCATTAAGTAAGCATATACAAACGACAGGATGACATCTGCCCATTACAAGGAGAAATAAAAATGATGTCTTAATTCTTCTGCTCAATTACAGACAATAGATTCAGAAATTCCAGGTTTTTTTTTCCTTTACAGCTGGATTACTCCGTTATATGTTATGTGAACAAAGTAACATGCCTTCTGTCCTTCAGGTAGCTATGATTGTACAATATAACATTGCACATCTTTGGATCAAATGCATTTGGATCAAATTTATACACACTCAAGTAATATAGCTAAGACACACACACACCAAAGCCACACACGCATTTACTATATGATTCAAGCTATTTTCTTTTTTTCATAAGCCACACTGTGCATAGCATGGGGGCACTAATAAGTTGCGAGAAAACAAAATTAATGATACCCTATAAGAACCACACAAAGAAAATACAGCTAAATCTGGTTTGCATCCTACAATACACCTCTCTGTAACTTTTTATCCTTCTAAATCACCTTTGCTTCTACCACATTGATATATTGCCTCATGTATTGCCTTTTGACCTTTAAGGTATTGTTTCTCTTTTTGACAGGTTTGTAACTTCATGCAGCCATGACTTCCTTGATCTTACCCTTCCTCTAAATTTGTATAACCAAACCGCTTCTATTTATTTCATGCACTGGTCACACATATTCATTGTCAATCTGTATTCATGTAGCACCTATTCTTGATTCTAAACCCTTTTTTCACAATGTCAATAAGTAGCTTAAGCATGGTGGGATATGGACAGTTGTATGTTGGCTAGCGAAATAATCTCAAGATTAGAGATCCTGGCTTGCCTAGAATACACACATGTGCATGGTATAAAACTAGACTTAGATTGCACTTGTGGCATACTGGCTCAAATGTACTAATTATTGTATTTCTATTGCTAGCAGGAAATCTGCATATATCTACAATTATGGTTGGCAAATTGGTCTTCTCTTTTCCTAGCCTACTAAAAAACCATTATGTGAAAGCCCCATGTATGTCTCATATTTAAAGTTATAAAAATCTGATCAAAAAGGTTCATATCAGTCTATTATTATTACAAAACTACAATAGCACAGTCGTGCTGCAGAATCACTGAACTTGTGTACTTTCATTGCAGCCACACTTTATACTTCCTGCATTTTGCTGGGTGTCTTCTTGAACAGCAGCGTCCCCATCTTCTTTGAACTTTTTGTGGAAACCGTCTATCCTGTTCCTGAAGGGATTACCTGTGGTGTGGTTACCTTCCTAAATAACATGTTCATGGGAGTTCTTTTGTTTTTCTTTAGTTTCTACCATAGAGGTAAGAAGTGTTTTGAATGCTTGCTCGTATAAATTTACCAGTGTGATATATTTCATTCGGAGTGTCATTCACCAAGATAGACTGCATATATCTCTTCTACTAATGCTAATGATGTTGAAGCTGGGCCATCTAAGTGTTTCTCTAACTGGTTGTCAATCAGAGAATGACATCTTTGTGGAAGCATTCCTTTGAAATTGGAATAGTGGTGTGACTTTAAAATAAACACTGGAGATTATTATTAAATGTACATATTTTTAACAAAGATCAGTGCAATATTATTGCTACAAATCACATTTGTAGCTGGCAATCTAAACCTGTGATAAAACTAATCCAGTCTCATGCTTCAATAATTTAATTCCCTGTGGAGGGAAGAAACAATGTAATTATTTCCTTCCTATAAATTGTCTCTTTCATCAATTTCCTAATGTAGCAAAAAGTGTTTCAAAGCTCTATTTTTATGTGTGTGTGTGTGTGTTATATTATTACATATATGTGTGTGCATGTGTGTGCACATACACACATATATGCAAAACAGTTTGTAAAGACCAAAGTATGTTCATGTTTTGTGTGTATTCTTATCAAATTACTTCATTTAAATTCCAAATACCAAATTTTCCCTTAGCAAGTTCTTAATAATAAGTGCTAAAAAGATTTTATGAATCCAAAGAGGATTGGAGCTATTAATTCTCGTTAGTTTGTCATTGGAATGAGAATAAAGATGGCTGTCTTGCATTCAAATCATTTGTTGGCTCAACCAAGAGCAGGAAAGTCAATCACTCTTTTGTAGCTTTAAAAATGTAAAGAGAGTTTAGAAAATATCCTCATTAACTTCCAGGGTACTGTCTTGGCTGTGGCAATTATGATTTGATGTATTTTAGAGATGTGTGTACTTAATTGTATCTCGTGGTAATATGATGCAAAAAAAATTCAGATAATTTATTTGGGTGTATGTTTGAGAGCGTAGCAGATGCTCAGCTAATACAACTATTTTCAACCATGATACTTCCCTGTGAGCATCTGCTGGGATGGCTGTTGGAGGCCAATTTTTGCAGTGGTTTGGGAACTTGCAGTCAGATATTCTCTCTTGTTGTCAGGGTTGTTAAACCAGGGGTGAAATCCAGCAGGTTCTGACAGGTTCTGAAGAACCGGTAGCAGAAATTTTGAGCAGTTCGGAGAACCAGCAAATGCCACCTCTGGCTGACCCCAGGGTGGAGTGGGAATGGAGACTTTGCAATATCCTTCCCTTCCATGCTCACTAAGCCACGCCCACCAAGCCACACCACGCCCACAGAACCGGTAGTAGAAAAATTTGGATTTCACCACTGTGTTAAACTCTGTGAAAAACTGCTTGGAGATGCCAATGGGAGCTTTTCATCACTCCATAGTTCTCAGCTACTGCATTCCAAACTTAATGATCCTGATATAAAGTTTGATTTTGACTTTAATTGTATTAAAGTTTATGGCTATGCTTTCTTTTTTATCTTTAATTTTATTGCTATAATGCTCCCTGAGTGGGGTTTTTTTTTAATAAAAGCAATAATACAGTTATTAGCCATTCATTAAGATATATAATTGTCTCTGGTAGGAATGGTTTATTACATATTTCCTCTTTAACATGGAGATTTTAAAGAAAATACATTGTGTTTTATACTTAGCCTGTAGATATGGGATTGACCTAAACCATAATACTTGAAGGGTTTTTAGATCTGTAGATGTGTAGAGAGAATTAGAGAAATAGAGAACCAAGTGGGTGTTTCTTCACTTTTCATTGTTGCATTGCCCTTAGCTCAGTTATAGAATTGTTGTTTTAAAATTTGGGTTCTGATTTGCAATTTTGTTTTTTTCCAGAAACATATGGTGTTTCTCCGAAAATAAGACATGTCCAGATAATAAGCCCAATCGGGCTTTTTAACGCATGCAATGATATAAGCCTCCCCAAAATAAGCCCCCCCCCAACTACTTACACGCATGCTCAGCCGGCCCCACCATTTCCTCTGGTTGCTTGCCGCACAACCAAAAAGAGTTGAGGAGGCAAGGCCGGAGGGGGGCAAGGGGGGAACATGCCCTCCTCTCCCTGTTCTTCGCACCAGTCGAGCGGCCCAACACATCCCACCCCACCCCAATGGCAACTGCAGCCTGGCTGCTTCCCTTCCCCGCCGTCTCTTTATCGAGAGGGGTGGCAGGTGGGGCAGGACATTGCGTCCAGGGAAACACGGTGTAAAAGAAAACCTTCTCGCGAGCTCAGTCAAACTTCATGAACTTGCAAGGTTTTCTTTTACAGCGTGTTTCCCTGGACACAACGGCGAGGAATGCGATGGAGCTTGAAAGGTAAGACGCGCTTCTCACCCGCCCTACTTGCCACCCCCAAATTGCATCCCTAAAGGGGGTGGGTGGCTAAGCGAGGGGCAGGAGCCCTGTCATGCCTGGCAAGGGGGGGAGAAGTGAAGGCAAGGGGAGCCATGTCTCACTCCACATGTCTCGCTTCTCACCCACCTCACCTGCCACTCCTCTCAATAAAGAGACGGCAGGGAAGGGAAGCAGCTGTTGCCATTGGGGAGGGGTGGGATGTGTTGGGCCTCTTGGCCAGCGCGAAGAACAGGGAGGAGAGGCGCGGGACATCCAGTCCAGGGGTGGATTCTACTTACCTTTACTACTGGTTCATAACGGGGCCGCACACTCTTCTGCGCATGTGCAGAAGCATTTTGGTGATGGGGTTGGTGGGCGGGGCCTCCTGCCGGTTTTACTACCAGTTCTATAGAACCGGTGCAAACCGGGGGCAACCCACCACTGATCCAGTCCCATGCTCGCCACCTCCTGCACCCCCAGAGTCCCTAGGGAGTTGTGCGGCATAGAAATGTGACTAATAAATAAAATAATAAGACACCCACCCACCCACCCCCGATAATAAGGCCAAGCCCTTATTTGGGAGGTCAAAAGAAAATAAAACCCTGTCTTATTTTCAGGGAAACACGGTAATTTTGTACACTTAATTTTTTGTGTTTCAAATATGATACCTAATAGAAAAAACTCTCTCAGTCCTGCTTTCAGAAGTCACTAACGTCATGATTTCTCCCAATATCTGTTGTTGATGAGATCAGTTCCTTCTGGTAAAAGTACTCATTTTGAGACGGTTGATTTTCACTTGAAGATAGCTTTGAGGCTAAAAGCATTCCCCCATCCCCTCCAAAAATATTGTGGAGTCTAGATTGTGAGCCTGTTTTTAGAATTACTGCTTTATTAAAGTGAAGTACAGTGTTACACAAATAAGTAAACTATTTCTTTTTCCTTCTATAGAATTTTCTTGGTTTAACTGGTGCCTCCCAGGTTCCTGCTTACTAAGCCTTCTACTCATCTTATGCTTCAGGGAATCCTATGACAGACTTTATCTGGATGTAATTGTCTCCGTTTGAAAACCTAAAGCAAGGAAGTTGAAGAGGATGGAAAATAGTACTGGGTTTAATCTTTTTTCTTGGAAAACACATAGACTAAATGTTACAGTATACATTCAAAAATTCACCGGGATTTTTTGATTGAATTTACAAACAAAAAGGGTTATTTTTAATTCCTAATACGGTATTTTATCATTTAGATTATTATGACGAGTCTTGTATTTGAATGGAATTAGAATATTTTTTAAAAGAAATATCTATCCAGAAGAATGTGTGCTAGAAGAAATATGAACTGTGATATTTTATTTAATAAGCTGTTTGACTGCAAAGATGTGTGCCAACTGAAACTACTTATAACAAAAGTATAATAGCAATATCATCACAGTTAGGAACTAATGATGGAATTTTTATGGATAAAAGCTTCTTTTTAACTCTTTTTCTTTTTTAACTGTTTGGTGTTTTAATGAGAATTCTGATAATCCCATATTTGTCTTGCTTTGTAATAACATGTTATTTCTTCATTGTGGCATGTTCATAACTAGTGCTTCCGTGATGACAGATTTTCAACTTAGTTGCTAGGACTGAACAAATTGTTACTCTCTCACTGTGAATCATCTTGTTTAAGAGGGAAATTACACTAGGATTTTGGTTAAATACAGCATAAAAGCTTTAACATCTCCCTAGTTTTTCTATTTGAAGCTATTTTTGCTTATTTAATCTAGAGATACCATTCTTTTATTTTCCTCTCCAAAAGACAGACAGACAGGCACATACATACCCATGGGTGGGGTGGGGGGGGGGAGGAGGGGAAGAGAGAGAGACTTCTTATTAAATGGTTCTTGGCAATTGGTGCTATAAATTATGTGAAATTATTTAAATGAAATTGCCTTATAGCCTTATAGGCTAATACAGACATTTAGGTGAGTGGATAGAGAATTGCAGTCATGGTATACAAAATTGTTTCTGTTCTTAAGGACTGATAATGTCTTATAAATATGGCTTGGTATTGAAGACTTTTACATGGTTTCCTGAGAATTTTTTTGGCTTCCTTCCATTAGGAAGGAAGGCCCTCTTCCCAAAATCTTTTAAAGCCAATGAAACAAACATTACAGTTTGTCTATTATAGGTTAATCTTCTCCTCAAACTTGTTTACAATGTAAAGGCTCTGCTTTCGTTTTTTAATAACTGTTTAGTAAAGAGACCTATTGGTAGTTTCAGTGGCCATAAGAATTGCAAGATCAAAATATCAGAATACGCAGTTTCTGAAATTTAGCATAAGTTGGAAAATACAATGCTTTTATTGCTCCTGCACCCTGTATTAAGAGGGACAATTTTTTTATTTCAGTTGTTTCCAATGTTCTTTCATCTTCAATTGATTTTCCAAATTCTCCGGTACACCAAATCTAAAACAAGTCACACATTGCGGAAGGTAGCTTATTTTTCTCAGTGTGATTTCTCATTGTTACGTTCATTGTGACACACATAAAGGGATATGTTGTGCTGTGATGGCCATCTTGATTTTTTTCATCCCCCAAACCCCAGATGGCCATCATGGTCATTATGATTCAGAAATAGATTTTTTTTTTTGTCTTTTTTCCTATACGTAAGTGAACTATTTCTTTAAATTAACTTTCAGGAACATTAGTTGAGTTACTTGATGCATTTTATAGAATGAGGCCACAGTACTTGATGGGCTAGCTATAAGGAAGGCAGTATTTCATGCATTAATGCCCTGGCTCTTGGTGCCTTGGGCTACCATGGAGGCTGTCAAGGGCCACATTAAAGGATGAATTGTGCTGGTTGTATGAATTGAATCTTGGAAACTCATGAAAGATAAAAGGCTTTATAATATAACAATAATAAAAAGTAAGCCATGCTTAGTAGTTCATAGTGTACACCCCACATTTTTGGGAAACAAGAAGGGTAAAACTAGGCTGCGGATGATAAATAAGCTTTATCTTCTTAACAACCTTTCAGACAAATAGAGCCAGTTTGGTCTAGGTAGGTTAAGGCTCCGGGCTAGAAAGCAAGAGCTGCGAGTTCAAGTCCCGCCTTAGCCTACAAAGCCAGCTGGGTGATCTTGGGACCGGTTGCTTTCTCTCAGCCCAAGTTGTTTCACAGGGTTGTTATTGTAGGGAAAATAGGATGAGGAAGGTGTGTTGGATATGTTCACTGCCTTGAGTTATTGGTAAAAATAACAAAGGTGGGATATAGATAAATAAAATCAATCAATAGATAAATTGCTGCATCATTGTTATACAGTAATAAGGGGCTGGGCAGCAGTAGTGGGTTTCAAATCCCGTCGCTACTGGTTTGCTTGTGGGCATGTGTGCGCAACACTTCTGCGCATGCGCAGAAACGTCTGGTGGGTGGGCGGAGCCTCCCACCACCGCCGCTACCAGTTCACTGGTAGCAACCCACCACTGCTGTGCAGACTTTGCCTGATAGAGCAATGCCAAAAAAGCCAGAGTTGGATTATGACTGTAGTAAAGCCATATATATTAAATGTATGATAGAAAGAGCCCATGTTTTATTGTACACATAAACTTTCTGTCATTTGTTATGTTTCATTTTGCTTCTGTTCAGTTTGCTCCCTCGTATCAGATTAGAGCTCATGTGTTAAATATTCTCTCATCAGCATTCTCTGCCATTTCTGTTACTGGAGCTTCAGGGAAAGGCACTTTAGCACTACAGTCGGGGATCTCTCTGCAGGAGGTCAGGGAAATTCAAACTTGAAATATTTCACATTATTAAGCAGTAGCTGACAGTTTGTGATAGCTTTATGCCGCTGTTCCACAAGTTTTTGACTAGCTTTTCTGTAATTGTTACTGAATAACCATGGCTGACTGTCCGGTCTAATTTCAGAACATCCGCAAATGGAGCAACTTTAAGCTTAATTATAAATGATTCTGTAAAATTAATTTTTAAAAAAAACCTGCATCGTTTGACAAGTTAGCCCTGAATTCTCAAATTCCCAGGGCCTGGTCCAGTATTAGTTCTAACCCAAATCTATAATTTGCATAGATGAGCAGCAATATGCTATACTGAGTAAAATTACTTTTGTGCATAAATATCATAGTCTTCCATAATGTCTGTGTTACTAAACAACCCATGATCTGCTGGCTCATCCTTTCAGAAATATCTCCTTACCAAATTCAACAGTGACACAACTTCTAATGTTCTTTCTTCACTAGAAAACTTGGCATCCATTCAGAGATGTATGTATCTGTCTCGAAAATAGCCCAAGTTGAACTGTAATAGCACCAACATCAGCACAAGAAATGTTTTATGACATTTTGTATTATGTCATAAACTGTTACGTTTATGTCATAAAATGTTTTGTACAATTTGTCAAATTTCAATTCCTGTGAAGATGGCCAAGCCCAGCGAGGCTTATATCTCTCGATTGGTTGTTTTTTCCCCCCCAGCTTAATAACAAAAGGAACTGGCATTCCTTTAGTTCAGTGGTCCCCAACCCCCGGTCCGCGGACCAGTGCCGGGCCGTGGAGTACCTGGCACCGGGCCGCGCAGCGGCCGGGGGACAGGAACGCTGCAGCGCAAAGGCTCCTGGGCCGTGCGCAATGGGCCTGCGCAAAAGCTCCTGGGCCGTGGCCCCACCCCTGCGCGTGCTCAGCGGGCCGCGGCGATAAAAAGGTTGGGGACCACTGCTTTAGTTTATATGCACCATTTTACCCAGTTTAAAATTAAAGTAATTAGTAATTAGTGAATGGATTAATAAGGCTGGAAACTTACTGACTCAGTACAATTTATGTATAAATCGGCATAAGATTGTGCTGTAACATAAGTAGGATTACATTTGCATTGGATTGTGCCATGATGCATCACTCTAGGATCAGTTTTGTCCATACATAATTAATCAATATATAACTAATTAGGGAACCTGTACCTTTTCATGTACTGTTGAATTCCATCTGCATTCGTGACAATTTTATTAGCATTAAAATAAATCAATAAAGGAAAAAGTACTTTTTTTAGAATAAGGGTTTTTTTGTCATTACAATTACTGTAGTTTGTTGCAGGAGGCAAGCTGAGTATTGAAAGGATGAGTTAGTCATAGTGAAGAATTTAAAAATACTTTACTTAGTGTGAACCGTTTCACGTTGCTTCACAGTGCAATATATTTGCTGAGAGGTAAATCCCATTGTATTTATTGAACTTTATTACTACCTAATTTATTATTTTAGCTTTAATGTATCCTAATAAAATTAGTAGGATTTGAAAAATGCATAATTTTTATTGGAATCTCTGCAAGCTTGCCATCATAGATGTGTGTGATTTCTACGTATAAAAATACATTAGAATCAGTGGTGGGATTCTGTTGTGGCTCCGTTACCTGAGCCTGTGTCATCGGCAGGAGAGGACTCCGAGAGTGAAGGAGAGGAGTTGGCAAGGCCTCCCTCTCCAGGACCCTCCTCTTTGGCAATGCCTTTGGTGTCCGCCGAAGGGCAAGAGATAGGGCCGGGGCCAAGCACGTCCACGCAGCCACAGGTGGACAGTGATGAGAGTAATGAGTCTTGGCTGGATCCTCGACAGTGTCGCAGAGATAAGCGCGCGCAACAGAAGAAAAGGCATGCCAGAGATTAGGCTGAGTCACTGGACCACACCCCACAGGATATAAAAGGGAGCGTGGTGGCCAGTCAAGCCTTGTGACGAACAAAACTGAAAGCTTCCACGCCATTCTGCATTGCCGGACTTTTGCTATAGCCTTTGCTGAATTATATTTGAACTTAAGTTACTCTGTAATTATTGAACATTTTACTTTGATGTACCAGAAGCGGAGAGACGTTATCTCTTCATGAGTAATAAACTCTTGGCAGGCAGCCACTAGGTTGCTACCAAGTTCCGTTATCATAAGGAAAAGGATTTTGTCGGCTGGTTTGTTTTTTAACTCTTGGACGTCTGTTGGTGTGTGTGCGTGTGGGACGGGGACAGAACAGATTCAGACAGTTCGCACCACTTCGGGAGAACTGGTTGTTAACTTTTTGAGCAGTTTGGAAAACTGGTTGTTGGAAGAAATCATTAAGGCAGAGAACCGGTTGATAAATTACTTGAATCCCACCACTGATTAGAACTATAAAACATTTTATACTAACTTCTCTGCAAGCTACTCTTACGCAGAGAACTCTTGGCCTTAAAAAGAAAGAAAGAAAACAAAATAGTCACTAGAGACTGGGGAAGGAATGCTAAACATTTTCCATGCTTTTATTCTGTTAAGTTGTGCTATTTTCCTCCATGACTTCTAAAAAAAAACCAGATAGAAAAGTAGATGAAGAGTTAAGCATTTTTAGTCTTCCTCAGCTTTTTATATTTGAATTTCTTTTTTTAAAGAAAATTGTTGCATAGGAGACCTTGGTATTATGCAGTCTATTCTGGCTTATATAATATGTTACTTAGAAAGTGTATTAAAGCTTCTATTGTTTTTATCTTGAACTCTATTTAAAAATGAATTTAAGAATTAAACTTAGAAAACACAATGGAAAAGATGTCTTATGTATAAAAGCGATGCAATTCACAGCAAAAGAATTTTTAGCACCCTTGTTCACGATTCTTGATTATTCCTGAAAAGGAATCTTCAACTCAGTGAAGCGAAACTACCAATACACCCTTAGCATTCAGCTTGGCATTTTCTGATGATGCTTGTAAATTAAACTGTGCTGCTATTTGATGCATCAGAAACATAACATTGGCTAGGATAATGCGATAATCTCTTGTTGATCTGTTATATAGTGCATATATCTTCTTTTCAACAAATTGGTTGGTCTCATATTCAAAAAATGCATTTCCATACAACTTCTAAAGGGAAGTACAGATAATAGTCTATTTACGGCTCATCACTTAGCGATCACTTGAAGTTAGAACGAACCTACCTAGAACTACTTACAGCCAAGTTTTGAAATTCTAATGGCTGCTCATCTGCCCCCCATCCCCATCATATGATCACATTTTGGGTTCTTGGTAACTAGCATACAATTATGGCCATTTGTAGTGTCCTATGGTCATGTGATTTTCAGCATTTTTCCAGAAACCAGCATTTATTTCTGCTTTCTGGGGAAAAAACGCCCATTAGGTTGGTTAACAACCCCCATTAAAAAAGGTCATAAAATTGGACACAGTCGTGTTAACTATTTGATTACTGCTATGACTTATGGCCATAATTCCAGGATCAATTGCAGCCATAAATTGAGAAGTATATGTATCTCAGTGGACCGTATCTCATCTCTGCCTTTGTTAGAGAGGTACCTAGATATAAACTTTTATTTCATTCTCTGCTACATTTCTTCTGAATAAAATAAGTAGAAAAAAATGCAGTTCTTTTGAATTACACAAGAATATTGACTCTCAGTTTAATTCTATCTAGATTCTCTGACTACATGCGTTATCAGCCAGTAGGCATTTCCTTTTTGATTACTTTAATATTTGAATTATTGTTTAGTTTGATATCAGAATAAATAAAAGGACTTAATTACAAGCATGTATATTTATTATTGAAGTAACAGAAGTCTCAGGAATATATATTAACAGATTATATGTAGTTTAGATGCAAAGAGGTTTTTTTTGACCTAAACAAACCTGTTTTCTGTCAATGCCCAGTGATTTCCATCCTTGCATTGCAAATTGACAAAATAAATAAGCAGCAAAGTATTTTTACATGCAAGATAAAAATTATAGTCATGTGACTTCACTGTACATACAAAGATGTAAAGGTGAAAATTGAGGACTTAAAATATTTATAAGTGCTAAAGATGGAGAGATTTATCTTTGAACAATTGTTTTATATATGTGAGAGAATAATTTTATTCCAGGATGAGTACTATAGGAGTCCTTGTTTGGTGATTTCCTCATTTAGAGACAGTTTGCAGATAAGGGTGATGAAAAAACTAAATTTGCTACCAATCTTTGCATTTACAGCCTTCATAGTTCTTTAGCATAAGATCTGTGTAAGTAAGATTGTAAGCACCGTTAAGCTTTTGCTTAGGTACCACTTTGCTTAACAACCAAGTTGCTGATCCCAATTGTGGTCACTGAACAAGGACTACGTATACTACACATTTTAAAATATATGTTTTTTTAGTTTGGGGAAATCATTTTCTGGTGTGCATTTATTCAGCTGCTCAATGGCTTTAGTAAGAAATGCACTGTACCCAACACCCAATTCAGCCTTCATATTAGGAACAAATTATGCCCATTATTACAACGGTACAATGAATTTGATTAGTTGGCCTGTTTTCTGGGGGTGGTATCTCTGATTTGTGGGTGTTGTATCACAGTCCAAGCCCTGTCCTTTTGTACGTCTGTCTGTATATGGGTACAAAAGGGAAGGGTGGGTATCTCGATGCCATAACTTCAATCTTGCAGATTTTGGCACAAATACACACAAAGCACATTGAGCCTATAGCAATGTGCAGAGCCTGTGATACATGGAAAGGAAGAAAGGGTGGCATGATCCCCAAAACTTGATTGAGAAAATAAGAAATCTTGCCCATTACCAGCTGTCCTGGTGTTGTGAAGTGTTGTGAAGAAAACTGTTTTACCTGACCTGAAAACATGTGTCAAATGTGTAACCTCTGAGTAAAGAAATAATATGCTACAGCTAATTGTAGTTCAACAACTTAACTAATTTCCATTTTGCATAATCTGTTCCATTTTGTATGGTTTTTATCTATCCTCCACTAAGCAGGAAACAATATAAAGAGGTATCAAAGGCCTCCTTCCCTTCTCAGAAAGGAAATTTTATTTTGTTCTTTTTCTGACATTGGAAACATAATACTTTTTCTTCTTAATACATTCTCAATCATGTCTTAATAAAACTAGAACTGTCCTTCGTGTCATTTGGTGGCTTGGTACTTTGAGAGTGTTAAATTTCTACAGTTTTGGATATCCATCTGACATCTTAAGTTTAATTTTTATTCTCTGTTAAATGTGCACTCCTTGTTCTGACATACCTACCATCCACTAAATAATGGAAAAGTTTTCATAAATGACTTCATCTTTTTATAAATATTTACAGCTTTGAGCTATGGTGGAAGATCAAAAATTTATATCTTTTTTTTTTACTAGATACCTACAAAATCCTTTGATGTATGAATTAACCTAGGTTAATTCTAATATATTTAAAGTTAATTTCAATGCTTTATTAATTTAACATTTTACAATCCCTTTCCCAATCCCCTTTCACTTATTTCTGCCATTTTTTAAATTTCATTTTAATACTTTATAAACAAGTGTATAAGCTCACCTGTTGGAATTCTGCATGTTCTTCTGTGTGCAATATTTCTAACTGTTTCTTGAGAAATGTTTTTTACAGTTGTGTTAATTACTTTACTTGGTTTATTTTAACAAAGTCTGGTGGCGTGAATATAAAAAAACTAAAATACCAATTCTTTTTGGGTTTTTTTGGGGGGGTGGGGGGTTAAATTAAGCCTGATATTGTTAAAGGAAGGGAGAACTATTAAATTAGGATTTGTAATAATTTACTTTTTGTAATTTTGTAAAAAAAAAAACTTTTATTTTAAGGTTCTACTTTTGTAAGTAATGTACTGACATGCGGCACAATCTGTCAGAAGCACATCCTGCTTTTATCTCATTGAAATTTGGGAAAAAGCCCTACCTCCTTCATCTTATTTTTTGAACTTTAGCAGGATAGAGTTCTCATATATTGTGCCTAAAATGCCTATTATTTTATAAAGAGAAGTTATTTAAAACCACTGTCTAATATACTATAAAAATAAAACTTCCTGTATTAGAGCTATCTTAATGCCATAATCTTACTGTTAAATGTTGTGTTTTAATATGTGTAATACTTGATATGCATTAAAAGATGTTAATTATGGCCTGTGAATCATTTTTCCTGTCAAGTACAAGATCGTATCCAAGAATTTATTATTTATTAGTATGTGGGAGTATCAGCAAGTATTGCAAGCCCAAATGGCAAAAGAAAGTTCAGGACCATATTGGTTGAAAAAATGCAGAAGAGGCCTTCATCCTGCAATGGATAGACAATGGCTAAAATGAGGAGGAGGAAGAATATTGTAGCTGATAGTTTTATTTAAGCTGGATATACCTGGTTTTACTCATCCAACATGTCAGTCACATTTTTTAAAGAAACATGTATAACAGATTAAATTCAAGACCAGTCTAAAAACAGGGAACATCTTCCAGGTCACCTTGCAAATCTTGATAACTGCCATGACCATTAAACATTTTGTAGAGTTTTTCTCCCCCCCCCCCCATGTAATAATTTCATAAATCGCTTTTTCAGAACAACTTTTCATCCTTCACTGAAATTTCCATATTCTGGATACTGTGTCTTTCAACAGGAGGAAATCTTTGATTTATAAAATTGACAGTGACCAAGAGAGGACATTACAAAGGTTTTGTCAAGCTATAAATCTTAATTACACACTTGCATACTGACATAAGAAAAAGATGGGAAAATATCAAGCACTCGTTCATAATTGTATGGCTCTGACATGCTCACAACAATCAAATGACTCCACAACAAACCTTTAGTAGCAGTTGGATAAAAGACCTTTCCTCACCAGAAAGAAGACATTTTTAAAAAATCATGTAAGGAGTGGGGAAAGAACCTGATCCCTTTTTTGTTAATCCATCAGACAATCCTTACTAAACTGTCTGGAAAAGATGTTCTGGAAAAATCAGTTCTATAAAGCAAAACGAGGGTTCTTGTTTGCAAACTAGGTACATACTATAGAACTCAGAAATAATGGGATTACAGTTTTGAGCTAAATAACAAAAATCCACATAACTGAAATTTCAAGTGTGTGTTCTGGTTGCAGTAATAAACTCACCCCCAGCCCCCATAAACATTAGAATCTGGCAAGGAATCTTTAAAAAATGAATTAATTTTTCAATAAAGTCTTCGTAAGCAGATCGCTTCATCCTGGGGTTATTCGCTTTCTTTCTAAACAGCTATCTATTCCAAGTTATGTTCGAAATGTGTTAATCATTTCATGTGACTCAGTCGTTAGACATCTCAACTTTTGATTTATTTAGAGCATTAAATCTGTGGGTCAGATTTGGCATTTTTTGTTTCCAATTGTTTTAACAGAGATCGGTATTCTTTCTCAAGACACGGCATCACATTTTTTCTATAATGGCCAAGAATTTTATGAACACAGTCCTATAATCTTGTGTAAAAGTCCTGCAAGATTTTATACCTTTTGCTTATGACTTTGTGAGAAATCTAAAAATTTTGGCAATTTCATGAAAATGCTGCCATTTTTGTCTTTAATTTCTGTTGGTCTTGCATAGACATTAGGGTTTGTTTGGTGTTTGGGAAATATGTTGGTGCCTGCAAGATTTGTGGTTAACTCCTATGCTACAAGAAGACGATTTGCTAATTCACTGAATCTACTTTGGAGAGTCTTCAACCTTCTAAACCTGCCTTGTATGTTGGGGAATTGGGAGTGGGGAACGATCTGCAAGAATTTCCTCTTACTAGTCATTCTTATGTGAACCCTCTTCCAGAAATTCCACTGGTCCTGTAGGTGTAATTGCAAAATTTGCTAATTTTCTGTTTTCTTGATGTAAAAGGAATCTCTCTCACACACAAGCAGAGTAGAAGAAAAAAAGAGTAAAGGAACTGCTTCTTTAAGGTACCTCTCTGTAGAATTCACAAATCCCTTAGAATTCACAAACTGGTTTAGAGGTGATGAACTAATAGATGGCATCATCCCTATTCCACTAAGTTATTTTCAATGTGAGAAATGACTACAAAAATATGTTGACATTCCCATTTTCTTCTGATCTACAGTAATCTGCAGGTCTCAAAAATTCAACGATCGGGCTTGTGATACGATGTATATAGCCAGGCTTATTTGCTGCTTAGGCAAGAAAGTATAATTGATACTTGGAATAGTAGGAAATTAGATACTGTGTACTGTATGTTCATATACTAGAGAAATGTTCTCCAATTTCAAGAGATATTACTATATTGGCCAAAGATGCTACTACAATTAATAAAAGATGTGGTTCAATTTATTACAGCAACTGTTACATGACTAAATGAAACACAACTATAAAGTTGCACAGGATTTATCTGAATACAGAATGATTGATTTGGGGATATTTCTTATCCAGGAAATATTGATGCAACAGACAACAACATGAGAATACGGTCTCATGTAGTTCATAAAATCATTTTTCTCCATTGCATTAATGCAGAGAATACAACTGGCATTTAAAACTCTTAAAAGTTTTAAATACCAGTTGTGCTCATATATTTTAATGTACAAAATGTGCTTCTGAAATCTTGTACAAGAGCTCTTTAAGAAGATGTTGGATAACCATTTGTCTGAAGTTGTGTAGAGCTTCCTGCCTAAGTAGGGGGTTGGACTGGAAAACCTCCAAGGTCCCTTCCAACTCTGTTATTCTATTCTGTTCTGTTCTGTTCTGTTCTGTTCTGTTCTGTTCTGTTCTGTTCTGTTCTGTTCTATTCTATTCTATTCTATATTTATGATGACAGAGTCTGACTTGAGACAAAGTGTCTGAGATATTTTTCTTAGTCCTCATATTTAATTATTATAAATATCTTAGACCGGGGTGTAAATAAAATGCAAATTAGTGCACTTTAGATCATAGACGAGCTATTGCTAGGTTCATAACGATGCTAATTAGTATATTGGTACATTCCTGATTAAGAACTTAGTTCTTAGAAATCTGGCAGGAAAGGGTTAATCATTCCAGTGAGAAAAATCTTAACTCTATTTTTCCTGAACTGATGTCTCTCAATTACTTTGTACTGTAATTGGCTGCATTTAAAAACAAGAAATGTTTCTTAATACACTTGCAAAATTATATCTTGTAATAGACCAGGAATGAGGCATTACGTATGCAGGTATAGCTGAGTTTGGGTTATTAGAAAGCCAATTTATTTTTTATTATATTATGGTGTAATTTTTTAGTACAAGACCATGATATAAATCATCAGATGGTGGAATGTAAACTAATGTGTCCCTGAGCCTTGTCATTTTCCATGGTCTTTAGTTTTATTAATAAATGAGCGTTTACATCATTTTGCCAATAAAAACACTCTCAATGAATATGGGTCTTTTCTAGTAATATGAAACAATGATGAAAAGTCAGGTCCATTGGGATTAATCTTTCAGCCTGTAAATTTGAGTCATGTAGCTTTGGATTTTGGAAAGCATCATTAAAAATTCAAGTCCTTCGACTTCATTACAAGAGTGAAAAATGCAAAGTGAGACCAGAAAACAAAGCTGAAGCCAGAAAACCAGTCTTGTTTAAAATTCCAATTCACCAAAATTCAAAATGCTTTTCCTAGCTTTAATAGTCTATAGGTGAATGTCACTGGTGGATTGCCCCCGGTTCGGACTGGTTCTATAGAACTGGAAGTAAAACCAGCGGGAGGCTCCGCCCACTGACCCCGACGTCATCAGAATGCTTCTGTGCATGTGCAGAAGAGAGTGCGGCCCCGTTGCAAACTGATAGTAAAGGTAAGTAGAACCCACCCCTGGTGAAGGTGATTCACCCAGTACATAGTTTCTTAATTTACCAAGTTTTCTATTAAAACCTAGTCAATGGTCTGATACTATCAAATGGCATCATTGTCGGGTGGTTCAATCTTAACCTTCATTTTATTATTTTTATTTGTTAATTTATTTAAATTTGTTATGTCTGCCTACTCAGTAGACCCTGGGTGACTTACATAAATAAGCAGTTAAAACAGTTAAAGCAAAATGGATAGCCTGGATTAAAAACAACTATAACCAGTGATGAAATTCAATTTTTTTTACTACTGGTTCTCTGGGCATGGCTTGGTGGGCATAGTGTGGCTTGGTAGGTGTGGCAGGGGAAGGATACTGCAAAATCCCCATTCCCTCTCCACTCCAGGGGAAGAATATTGCAAAATCTCCATTCCCATCCCTCTTTGGGGCCAGCCAGAGGTGGTATTTGCTGGTTCTCCAAACAACTCAAAATTTCCGCTACTGGTTCTCTAGAACCTGTCAGAACCTGCTGGATTTCACCCCTGACTATGACCATAATAATAAAACATTGAAGGGGATTCACAAGCCCAGGCCTGGGAACTGAGCCAGTTTTTAAGGGCTTTCTGAAATCCCAGAAGAGCAGGCACCATTTGTGCCAGGGGTGGAGCTGTTGTTCCAGAAGGCGGGGTCAACAACAGAGAAGGACCCCTTCCTTGGTTTTACTAGATTATAATCTGAGGGAACCTGGAGTGCGCCTATTCTACCTGAAGGTATCAGGCAGGCAGAAACAATAGTTAGGTGGCCTCTCTTGTGTCCAGGTCCAACACCATGAAGGACTTTATAGGTGTCACAATGTATGTTTTATTATTTCTTTTTTTTTTTATTATTATTTTTTTATAAATTTTTATTAATAATAAAAAGAAAAAACAAAACCAACATATATACATAAAATGACATACAAAACTAACAAACATCGATTCAGTCCAATGACTGACTCTTAGAAGTTACTATAACGGTGGAGTATTTTCCATTTTTCGATTTATATCAATGTCTATAATCATCTGTTTACATGGTTATATATATATATATATATAATTGATTCCTTATTTACTTCTAAACATTTCTATTGATTAGTCATAAACTATCCTTCTATTCCTATTTTTGCCTCCAGCCAGCCGTACCATCTTTGCCATACTAAATAGTAATCAGTGTCATCTTTCTCTTGTATTTCTTTTGTAAGCTTATCTAATTCTGCGCATTCTGTAATTTTAGCTATTATTTTGTCTTCTGTAGGTAACTGTTCAGATTTCCAATGTTGGGCAAAGAGTATACGTGCTGCTGTGAGGATATGAATGATTAGATA